AAAGTTAACAAAAACTTCGCCAACACGATTTTTTAAGTTTATTTAAATTTTCAGGTCATTCCAGTTTTAACAAAGTTTTTACTAAGCAATTATTTACGCAAAAAAGTACGCAAAAATCACATTATTTTTTAGTTTTACTTAAAATACTTACAATCTTCGGATCTTTTCTGCGAAAAATTATAAGATAAGTTTTATTGGAACACTCGGCTCCTGAACAGCTTTGTAAATTAAGCTCCTTAATAGCTTAGTAAATATTTTTGAAAAACTTTTTGCAGCTTTCAATTATGGACAAAACATTAATAATAATTTCTGGGCCTTTAAAAAAAAAATCCCTGAATTAAAAAAGCGAAAGTATATAATCATTAATTTGGAAAACTTTTGGAAACTGGGGTTTCTTCACTTTTAAGTCAATATTTCAACACTGTCTCTAAACAGAAAAAACGCGTTTTTTTTTTAGGTTTTTTTAAATGACTTGTAAATCATTAACCGATGAGTTATGACTCGTTAACTCAGAGAGCGGCAACAACTCAATAGCGCAACTCAACACAGTGTTACCCAGTTTACAGTTTAGCAGCCCAGTATAAATCTCACAAGGTTATTAAATCAGAGGCAACACATTTAGAAAACTTTGCTAKGAGYGATACTGGGAACATTCAAAAACAGGTCGAATTCTTTTCGAAACTTTGCGACATTCGGTGAAACTTTTCTTGAAACTACGTAGTTTTCAAGACGATTCGAGTGATTTCAAACTGCCAATACATGGTCCAATCGAACGGATTTTTAATGAGCTTTATTACTGTACTCTTCGAGATTTTGAGGGAAGGACTTCCAAACGCTTCTTCCAATTTTTAAATTTTGGGATTAGTTGGATTTTGGAGTTGGTTTTCGGTCGTAGAATTTTCCCTCAGAGACTCGCAGAGTTAAGTAATAAAGGCTATTGAAAAGGTAGGTCGATTTGGTCATGCACATGTAGGTCTTCAAACTTTGAATTCACTCGAAACCTATTTTTTCTTGTTTCTAAAACATGAACTGTTAAGTTGTAACTGAAGTTAAAACGTTTGTGGCTAGTGAACGACGTTACTTAACGGAAAAGTTAGTCAGTTAAACCAAACATTGTAGAAAGCATGTAAATTCTTGAAAAGATTATTTGGGTATAAAATCTTGATATTCGAACAGTTGATCCATGTATACCCGGGTTATGTCGAGCGCTGGCCTACTTTGCGTGACGTCACATTTGCAGGGATTGAAAGGAGTTTGTTTTGAGGTCTGGACAATTTGATTTTCGAGCCTTTACTCTTGTGAGTGCGTCCTCAACATTTCAATATTTTACGTTACTTACTGAAATTGCAACTATCAACATCCATAGACGGCAAAGTCCTCATATATTCCTTACATTGCCCGTTTCCGAGATGTCCATAACATTCTTGATGAATCTCGTTATCCGCACAGCAATCCTCACTCTTTAGGTTGCCCGTCATAGCCAAATCGTGCAAAAGAAGCTCGCTCCATGCTCCAAGCAGAGCAGTAACTGATTCGTGCGATTGAACGGGAATAGACTGAAGAGTGGCGGAAACATCTAGAGGATTGGGAAGCGACTTTGTTGTTGATGAGCTTCTCGGCTGAGATTTTCCTGAAATCAAAATGATAATGTTAAGTTGTTTGCGGCGAATACAATTGATTGATATTAAAATATAAAATCATAGCAATGGGAAAGTGCATTATTTTGTACAGGGGGCGTTGCTATAAATGCATACTTTTTTGTCTTCGTAGTACACAAGCATTGCATCATTTTTTCTTGGGAAAGGAAAATTTATTTACGTATTAATTAATCTATTTATTACATTTTTATGTCAGAATTTAGAGAATTTTATATGCTTTAGAGCGAAATAAGATAAAAGAACGCTGGTGATAAATTCAAAGAAGTTATCCATCCAATGATGCGAAAATGACTCCTATCAGCCCACTTCCCATGGGTGGAGTAAGAAGCATTTTTAAAATATCTAATAAAACTCCCCGGAAAACTCCGGCAGAACTTTTGGAAAATACTTTGGCGCATAAAATTTTTGACGCAAAATACCCAAAAAGAACGTTTTCAAAAGATGAATCGGCCTCAACCATACACAAATACCCTTTAAGAATAAAGCGTCATAAAAAATAGGACATATTTAAAATTTGGATCACGCTGTAAAAAAAAATTTTACATCAAAAAGAGCGCAATTGAAAATATTAATCAAAGTGTCCGAGCATATTTCCGAAAAAAAATCGGTCTTTAATTTACTGAATTGATTCCAAAATACACACGCGCACTATACAGGGTGATTCAAAATTGGCGTCATTCTTCTGGAGGTGTTGTCTGGGGGAAAAATAGGAAAAAATATTAAAAACTGGAATATTTGCAAAAAACTAGATTAGAAGAATGGCAACAATGTTTTGAATTGAATAAATTTGTTGTGCTTAAAATATTTCACAATATGAATTCGAACATGCCTCCACTCGTGCAAAGATATTGAAATCCTACACTGTTTACGTGTGTGATTGTGGGAGACCAAAACATAATGGGTTCTAGCAATGTAATTAATTGAGATATTCAAATTATTGCCCCGTGAATTTGATTGACAAAATAACAAATTGTAAAACATACAAATTGATCACTATAGCCAAATAACATGATCTGGGCATTTTACAAATTACTTGTCGTTTCATCTATTAGCTTCGGGTCATTTACATATAAAGCAGGTATTTTCCGATTGTTAATGATAGAGAATCTCTGGATCCGGGTAGTAAAGGGACGGTGTTGCCTAATTTAACATTTCGTTCTTTATAAATATACTTGTTAAACAGGTAATTTTTCAAATAAGTTTTTTATACATTTCACTTACTGTGTTTTTACTTCCGTACTTTAGTATTTGCCACCGGTTTCTAATGTGTCTATCTTTGAGTGAAAATTAAAAACAGTTTTCAACCATTTCAGTATTCGTGAATTTAAAGCAAGTTTGCTATTAATTACACTACGAATGCACTATTTCCATTTACTTCAAAATACCACAGCAGCGGACTACCAGATCGTCAACAATAAATAAATTGACCTTTAGAAAAACATCTGGGGAATAATCTCCTGAAAATTATAGATCAATGTAGCACGTGAGCTTCGTCAAGGTAAACACGAAGAAATCTTAAAACGTATTCTTTAGGCAGCCAACTGTATAATGTTCATTGTGCAATAGTAATGTTTTCGCGAAGAAAATAATCTAGCTAAAATTTGTATCCTTTAACTTGGAAGTAGCAACATGGAATTGCTTGTACTAAATCATTACGGACTCGTATATATGTTCTCTCTATAGCCAGTATAATGACGAATGGTCTAATTAACTTAAATTTTAACATACGAATGTTTTAAGATTACTCTTAAACCATCTGTCAATTAGGTCAATTGCAATGCGGCTTTTAACAGTGGGGCAATGAGTTAATAGAGGCAATACAAACATATGATTTAGTACAGATGGGCTGCCTCAGAATGTATTTGTGAAAATGGTACATTTGTAGATTTTTACATATTTTTTAACCCTGAACAAGTAATAAAATACGCCTGTGTGAATGGTCAAACGTGCAAAGCAGAGTTTTAGGACTTTACGTTATCGGAAATACTTGTTGGAAATAAACTAAAAACAATATTTTAGAGAAAACTTAGTTTTGCGAACAAAAGTTTATTGCCTCGAAAATGTTTACACCAACATATTTAAATAATTTTGATCGAGGTAAATTGATTGTGATTGGCGGCCCCATCGATGACCTGCATGAACGGTCGAATATCACAGGTGTTCACCTCTTTTTGTGACTTCTTTTTCTGATAAGATCGCATAAAAATTTACATTCAAAGGCTACGCGAATAAACTACTAAAACCACATTTGAATATATTGAAAATATTAAACAGTCTCTAAATAGTAGAAATCTGTTTAAGACATATTCTTATTTAGTAGATGTGTTAAGTACATATTTTTTCTAACAGTACTTAAATATTCTATTATAAAAGAGTTATTGAAGTATATATGTGATTGAAATGATAAAAACTCGGAACATAATTTTGTGGATGAAGCGAAATTAATTAAAAAAAGTTTTACCTGAAGGGAAGCCAAAAAAACCCGTTTGACTCGACCTTTAATCTTGATAATGTCAGCCGTGACGTAAACCGCTGGCGGCCTACGTCAGTAGATGGCCTAGGCCACGCCCCCTCTCTCGTCGGTGCAAAGATCAGCCAGCACCAATCAGAGCAAGGGAGCACGAATCTGACTAGTCAGTTTGAGTCAGTTGAGTTTGTTTTGTTAAGGGACAAAATCCTCATAAAATATGGGTCGCTTATACAGGGCTTATATATACGCGCGCGATTATATGCTCTAACTTGTGTAAGGTTTCGCGTGAGGACAGAGGTAGAGTTCAGATTTGTAGTGTCATGATTTGACATGACAATTAGACAAATGAGGTTTTTTCAAAACTTATAAATTTTCCTACATAACATAAAAATTAGTAGTACCAAGTGTATTATAAATGTGCATACTTTGGATGGAAATCAAACTTCACCCCTGCTGAATCACTCAATATATTAAATTAACAGTATTTCTAACAAAGTCTGGAAATATGTATATAAAAAAAATGTGTGGCGGAGCTGAGGTAGACGCGACTTAACGTTTCTTCCTGGGTGACAATATTTTTTTGGTACTCCAAAACCTGTTTAAGAACCCAAAAATAGTTTTCATCGAAATACCATACTTGTTTAGACTAATTATAATAAAAACATTTAAAATTCCGCTTCGGTTGACTTATAAAATAATTTACGGTCATTCATATTTTTATGAGTTTTGAATTCTACAAGTGACCGTATATTTAAATTGTTGCCCTTGAAAAGCGTAATTTACGATTGGTGGTGAACTGATTATCAAATGTATTACCAAACTTGAGAATTTATCCAAGTAAACATTCCCATTACCGAACGCTACACTCTCAAGCAGTACATTAAAATTTCCATTCCGGATATTTGTTCATGTGAGGAGGATACAATACTGCGAAAATGCAAAAAACAAACAGGTCAATCATCTATCTTCACAAAATCCTGGTAGCAAGGTCGGTAAGCAGACAATAACACGCTGCTTCTTAATGAATACTAATTACAATAGACTTGCTCAAGTCTTCATCGACATAACCATTTGTTCATTACTTAATTAATTGTTACGGATTAACTGGTAGAAATGTACGGAAATTATGAAAAACTTTGCTTGTCTGTCCTTGACCTAGGCTATGAAGCTAACAGTGAAGCGGAACTGCGAACATTTTATAGCCAGCGTACGCTAAATGAAAAATGAACGTATAAGAACTCAAAAAAAGTACTCACTATCGGCATATTCCGCATCTACAAGTCTCAGGAATGGAGCTCCACGAGTACCCCAACTGGGATGTCTCACATTATTACACTCTCCATTGGTAGACCTGAACTTGCTTGGTGGACATGGTACCGAGTCATCAGATTGTTCACATTCTTGGATCGTTGGTAGATTTCCTTTCTCTGCATTTAAAGCCAATCTCACCTTCGTCCGTAAATCTTCAGGTAGAGGCCGCAAGTATGAAGTCAAATCGAAATTTTTCTCAATCAATGTTGAATTGCCTCCTGTGAGATTTGTGATCGACAGGATGGAAATTATCCAGAGGGTTGTACCCATAAAACGAAACCTGCAAAAATATATACATTTAGTATGGAAACTTGTGCCGCTATTCGCTTATACATTCTCGTATAATCAGTTTCCTAATATAACAGCAGAATATCATCAACGCAACGTAACTAACTAGAAGGTTTTAAGATAAACGAATAAATCCTGGGAAATATTGAACATCAACAATACTCGGAAGCTGTAGTATTAAAGCCACGTCATTAAAATGTATTTCTAATGATTTCACAGGCAGGGTGAGATCATTATGCAGCAATAACCAACCGCAGGAAATGCACTCTAAAGATCTGCCGAGCTTTCCGCAAAAGGACCAACAAGACCAAACTTGCAGAATAGAGTGTAACAAAGCGCAGTTTTTCCCTTTATACCAACAATGTATTAGTAACAGTTATATATTTTTCTTGAATAGGTTCTGAACGACCAAAAAAAATGCTTGAACGACATTTTTTAAACCTGCTCTTGTAGTATCTGGGACATGTTAACAGGTAGTTGTTACATCTAAAGCCGCTGCTGTAATTCACCTATTCACAATTTGAAATACTATCAATTCGTCGTAACGAACGTCACACTTGTTTAAGTACTTATGGAATTATCAGCTAGAAAAATACAATATAAACAGGGTGATTCAAAATTGGCGTCATATATCACTCTTTTGCCCCAAAAAGGTTGGCAGCACTGACGACAAAGTGACAACGTTATCCTAACCTGGAACTATTTAGTTGCCACTTTCACTTTCTCAGTTTGGTGCTTACCGATGACCGATTTAAAAACATTGTTGCCGTCCTGATGAACATCTTTTTTTTGCAAATATCTCAGTTTTTAATACGGATTATTTTTTTACTATTTTTCCTGTACTCCCAAAACACTCCCTGACAACACCCCCAGAGGAATGACGTCAATTTTTAATCCCCTGTATAGATTATTTGAGGGTCAAGCTAAATATGGTTTTGTGAGGGTAACGTGAAACTATATCTTTCTCCTCTTTGCTTCTTCTGCTGTTTCACAAATTTTGAAATATTCTTGCATGACAATGTTAGCTCAAATTTATATGGCAACCACATTGAATTTATGAGCAGACGTTAGGATTTTCCCGTTTAATGTTATGATTTACCATAAATGTAAGGGGAGAAAGCTCGGTGAATTATTAATAATTAAATGGTAGATCTTTAAATCGATTTTATCATCGTGATTAATCGCAGCATTATGAATATCACTACTTCACATCTTATTATCTTAGTGAAGACATCTTGCAAATCCAGTATTTAGCGATTTTTGCGTAAAGCGAAATAGTGATCAAATTATGTCACTACAAACTATTATAAAGCTTACTGAAAACAAAATGACTAGGCCGATAAATAGACTGACCGTTCAAAATGAACTCTAACGTATTTAGCCTTGCGAATTATCAATGACCTTTTCGAATGTAAAGAAAATGTAATTACCTTTTTGAAACTCAATACCGTCCATAATTAAATTACCGATTCAATTCAATCAGTTGACGAATTTTGGAATGTAAAACTAATAAAAGTTACAATTTTTCCTGAAGTCCCTCTTCGAATTCTTCCTGTTTTTTGAAAAAACAACAAAACAAAAAATGTATGTATTTTATTTATACCCGAAACGATGAAAGTAAAATCTTTGACAAGTAAGTTATGAAGAGAGTTTACAAGAAAGAACAAAATTTACCTGCCACTTTTTCTCATTGATGGGGCTATTTTTCTCCATCGATTTTCTTTTACTGCAAAAAGTTTTTAATTTTCATCTTCGTAATCATAAATCGATGGATATTTTCAGGCCTCTTTAATTAAATTGTCATGCGTATGGTTCCGGTCTGCTACTAATATAAGAAAATTGATGGGTTTTCTTTTACTTCCAAATCAAATTCATTCCTGGGTTTTAGTCATTTATTGTTTCTATTTATCAATCAAAATACGTTTCGATGTATTTTTCCACCATCATCAGTTTTTCTAAAATAACAGATAGTTAAAAAATATGTTCATTAACTTAAAAAACAACCACAGTTCGTCAACAGCCCCATCATATCACACTTTTTTTAACTATCTGTTATTTTAGAAAATTAAAGACCATTAAAGGAGTAATTTGCGATCATCCGCGAGTCGCCAGTCGCACCACCTAAACCGTACCTTTAAGGATACGATAACCAAATAAAAAATGAGTAAGGTAGAAAATTATATAGTCGGATAAACACCAAAGATCTAATCTAAAATCGCGATCAAAACTACAAGTTATCGACGCCAAGAAACAACCGATGATAAATGTACAGCATTAATCTGCCATCATTTAAATCAATAAAAAAAACTAATTTCTCCAAGTGGATATAGAATTTCGAATTTTATATGGCGTTCGAGTTTACACCTTATTAGAACCAGTTTTGTGATCATCAAAGGTGAAATATCCTACTGCAGTCTGCTAAGAGGAAGCACGGTGRCAAGATACAGATTCACAATAAGAACACATTTTTTTGTTTTCTTGGCTATCGTTAAATTGAAAAGTTGACMAGAAACGTGTTTTGAACATGCTGTCTCCCCAAGCACTCTCGATGCACCGGAGACTTCGTCCTAGTTAGATGATTAGTACGAAAGTTAGTAGAAAAMCGGAATTGGTTCGATGCTGAACAAAACMTCTCATTCGAAAAATGWTATTTATACATASGAACTAGAATGATATAGAACATAATTAAATTGTTCTTYTTCACAATCATGCAAGTTTTTGCTATCGTCTTAAGTAAAATCAGTAAATCATGAAGCAAAGCCGGGACTGGACACAAATTACAGATTTAATTAATTATTAAATTACAATTTATCACTACAATCACCTACCCAAACATAATTTGATGTCAGGCAGATTAGGCTTTGCCTTGATCGATAGAATAACATCTGCTAGAAACCACATTGCCGACGTTTTTTTAAGCATACATTCTAGGAGAGTTTTCGTAATATGATTGGTGCAAATCAGGGGCCAGCAAAAACAGGTCTTTTCGAGTTTACTGGTGTATCCGATCCGAACGATCCTAAAGATACTCAAATCTCTTCTATTATTACACCGAAAAAATCCCTCCAAGTTCGATGCCATAGTTCTAAATCTATCGGTAGTTTAGATATGCAAAAACAATATCGGCTAATGGTAAGTATTTTAATTTTCTTTTGTTGGGCACATAAGTTGCAATAGCAGATTGAAATATCCACAAACCAGTATCGTACTTTTTTCAGTCACTGATTGAAATCTTAAAAAAGTATATACAAAAGAATAAAAATGGAATTAGTAGCCGGATACAATTTCAGCGACTGAAAGGTTAAATAGATAAGTCGACTGTGCGCTTTGTATGCCTACACTTAGTTTACTTTGAATATAACGAGCTCCTGCCAATAATTTCTTTTTAGGCGACAAATACCTACATATGCGATATGTCATGGTCATCAAATGAATCAATTTATAAAGGAAAATCAGCGAATTGTATTCTTAAGTGCTTTAAAGAATTTCCTGTAAAAGTTTTATGTAGGAATTCTCATTAAGTGCATCGTAATTACTGCCGATAAAATGGATAATGGGCGATCAGTGATTAGGTGATGACGACACACAACTCTTGAATTTGCATTGCCATACCATCTGGTTTAATATTGAGGTGGAATTAGTTTATTTCTTCATTTTACGACTACTTCGAAGTAATGACTCTTATGCGAATGAATGCTTTATTGATTTGTTCTGGGAATGGCAACATGTTTTCCTAAACCGTTTACACGGATTTGCATATTTGGATAATCTTAGTTATACGCGACATTTGCTCTTAATTTATTAAGCACTTATAATATGAGCGGTTTATGAAACGTTTGATGTTATTCAGTCAGAGACGCAACGTTGTTAAAGTTACAAATATCGGTTATTTTTCAAATTACGAGCTCGAAAATGTACATGCAAGTCCTTTAATATCTCACGTAACGTCTAAAATAACAGTGTTCCAGACGTGTAACCTTGTAACTGTAACACTTTGCCACTTTAACCAGTTTCAGTAACCATTTGTCAACGGAAAATATGTTTAGTTGATGATTGGAAGTTTTTAAGTTGACACCCGATATGCTGGTGTGGCTGTACTTATAAGTCTTCTGCTTTCGCTTAAGGTGGATCTTAAATATCTGACATGTTTGACACGCATATTCACACATTGAAGAATTAATATTGAAGACGCGTTACGTCATAATTGCTGCTTTTTGCAATTTGTCATTATAATATATGTAAATGCTTTCTATTGTCACACCTGAAAGGTCTCTTCAATCGTTTGACCCCAAATAAAAAAAGAATTAAGAGTCACGAGGAAAAATGAATCTTCATTACCATTATTCATCAGTCTAATGACTGCGAAAGTCCACCAAGCAATAACATATTCATAACTATAGTCCATCGGCCTTTCATTTTTGATTATTGACCATTCTGATGTTATTTATAATAATATACTTGATTATCAAGAAACACTAATAATAACCCAGCAGATTACCGTAGAAACACTTAAAAGAAGGCAAACCGGATGGACTCGTCTTGCAATTCTAATAGGCAATAAAACGAAAGTGAGAGAGAAAGTGCAACCTATTTTTCACAAATAAAATATCAAAGCGAGATTTTAAATTACATCGTCTTGACTTGATCAATAAATTTTGTATAAGATACTGTAAAAAATATTTTGATGGGGTAAATTTAGAGCAAAACTTACATAAAATGGTCGAAGGAAAGTAAACATTATACAGAGAAAGTGCGTGTCTTGTGGTATGGGAATGAAGACATGCATAATTTTCTCAGCGCTTCAGATTAGCTTGTTGAAAACATGATTGATAGTCTGTACCTCTATTATTTTTAGAGCAGTCAGCTTATAGAAGTGAATCCCAGTGATCAACATTTATTCTAAGTTAACGAAAAGGAACTGTAAATAAATGTGGCAACTAAAGTGATTAGTGGATATGTAGATGTACATCACCTAAATTTACACAGCAATGTCAACAACTACATTAAAATTGCATTGCTGAGTTTATCCAAATGAAGGTTACATATGTAATTTGAGCTGGGTTTTTTTGCTTAATTTTTCTGTCCTTGGCATTTTATTTATTAA